TCTTTATCAGCACTGTGAGAACAGACTAATACAGTAAACTGGTACCCAGACTAGGATGCTACTATAAACATACCTGAAAATGTGGGAGTGACTTTGGAATGGGTAACAGGCAAGGTCTGGGACAGTTTGGAGGGCTCAGAAGACAGGAAGATGTGGGAAAGTTTGGCACTTCCTAGAAAATTGAACGGCTTTGACCAAAATGCTGATAGTGATATGGACAATAAAATCCAGGCTAAGGTGGGCTCTGATGGAGATGAGGAACTTGTTGGTAACTGGAGTAAAGGTCACTCTTGCTATGCAAAGAGACTAGCAGCATTTTGCCCCGCCCTAGAGATTTGTGAAACTTTGAACTTGAGAGAGATGATTTAGGGTATCTGACAGAAGAAATTTCTAAGTGGCAAAGCATCCTAGACGTGACAGAGCATAAAAGTTTGGAAAATTTGCAGCCTGATGAAGTGGTAAAAAAGAAAAACCCATTTTCTGGAGAAAAATTCAAGATGGCTGCAGAAATTTGCATAAATAACCAGGAGCCAAATGTTAATTGACAAGACAATGGGGAAAATGTCTTCAGGGCATGTCAGAGACCTTCAGGGCAGCCCCTCCCATCACAGGCTCGGAGGCCTAGGAGGGAAAAAATGGTTTCCTGGGCTGGGTCCAGGGCCCTCCTGCTATGTGCAGCCTCAGGACTTGGTGCCCTGTGTCCCAGCCATGGCTAGAAAGGGCCAAGGTAGAGCTCAGGTCATGGCTTCGAAGGACGCAAGCCCCAAGCCTTGGCAGCTTCCACGTGGTATTGGTACTGTGGGTGTGCAGAAGACAAGAATTGAAGTTTGGGAACCTCTGCCTAGATTTCAGATGATGTATGGAAACGTCAGGATGTCCAGGCAGAGGTGTGCTGCAGGGGCAGGGCTCTCCTGGAAAACCTCTACTGGGGCAGTGTGGAAGGGAAATGTGGCTGTCCCAGTAGGGGAGTCCCCACCAGGGCATTACCTGGTGGAGCTGTGAGAAGAGGGCCACTGTCCTCCAGACCCCAGAATGGTAGATCCACCGACAGCTTGCACCCTGTGCCTGGAAAAGCCACAGACACTGAATGCCAGCCCATGAAAGCAGCCAGGAGGGGAGCTGTACCCTGCAAAGCCACAGGGGCAGAGCTGCCCAAAACCATGGGAACCCACCTCTTATATCAGCATGACCTGGATATAAGACATGGAGTCAAAGGAGATCATTTCAGAGCTTTAAGATTTGACTGCCCTGTTGAATTTCAGACTTGCATGGGGCCTGCAGCCCCGTCATTCTGGCCCATCTCTCCCATTTGCAATGGGTGTACTCAATACCTGTAACCCCACTGTATCTAGAAAGTAATAAACTTGCTTTTGATTTTACAGGCTCATAGGCAGAAGGGACTTGCCTTGTCTCAGATGAGACTTTGGACTATGGACTTTTGAGTTAATGCTAAAATGAGTTAAGACTTTGGGGACTGTTGAGAAGGCATGATTGGTTTTGAAATGTGAGGACATGAGATTCAGGAGAGACCAGGGGTGGAATGATATGGTTTGGCTCTGTGTCCCCACCCAAATCTCATCTTGAATTGTAACTCTTATAATTCCCATGTGTTGTGGGAGGGATCTGGTGGGAGGTAACTGAATCACGGGGGTGTGTCTTTCCCATGCTATTCTGGTGATAGTGAATAAGTCTCACAAGATCTCATTGTTTTATAAAAGGGAGTTCCCCTGCACATATTCTCCTGTCTGCCACCAGGTAAGATGTGACTTTGCTCTTCCTTTGCCTTCCACACCATTATGAGGCCTCCCTAGCCACGTGGAACTGTGAGTCAATTAAGACTCTTTCCTTTATAAATTACCCAGTCTTTGGTATGTCTTTGTTAGCAGCAGTAGAACAGACTTACACAATGTAATCCTACCACCAAAAATACTTAAGTGTTATTTTGGGGTATTTCAATCTGGCTTTTTTTCCCCATGAATGGAATAGGTTTTAACATAGCTTTAACTAGGCACAAGCAAATGTACATATATGCAATATTTTCCTCTTAATTTTATCTCATAAGCATTTTCTATGTTATAGTACATTCTCTTCACAAGCACTATTTTTTATGGCTGCAGACTAGTCCAAGAAACGGGTTTCCCATTGTTTGCCTAATTCTTCCCCTCTGTCCCATGTTTTAGTAGCTTCTGTCTTTACTGAGTTAAATGTTATTAATATAAATAGCTTTAGGTTGCTAATACTTAGCTCCAGTTGCTTTCCTAAAAGTATACACTGATCAATGTACTATTTGAGGATTTTGTTTCTGGATAGCCCACTCTGTGCTCCAAATGAAAACTAACATCCCAGAGGCTCACTACTTATTCAGTCCTCTTCATGAAGCTTTAGGAAGGGAGCATTTCAATGTCTGCTACTTGCTAGGCTCTGTTGTGCATGTGTAATGTTATCTCATTTAATTCTTCAAATCCAAGTTTCAACACTTCAGCAATCATCTCGGCTTTTCATTCATTCAAAGTAGTACTGAGTGCTTATATAGTGCCAGGTACTGGTAACACAGTAGTAAGCAAAACCAAACTCCCTCAGGAGTGTTCACCCTGTCTCAAAGGCACTCCAAGACATTAAAAAGTAGCCACTCCATTTCTGTACTACTCTGATAACAAAACATTTCAATAGCTTCCATTACACTTCAGAAGAAATCCAAATTATTTTCCCTAGCCCACAAAGCCCCACTTCAGCTGGCTTTGCCTATCCCACCCATACCATCCCCTGCCACGTTAACCTTACCCATTAGGCCTCACCACTTGAATACGCTAAGCTCTTTCCACTTCAGCCATTCCCCATGACTGAACCTCCCACTCTGATCATCAAAAATTCAAGCCCCTTCCCATCTTTTAGGTCTTAGCCGAAATGTCACCTCTTCATGGCTTTCCTTGGTCACTCCATCTAAGAGGTTCACCAATATTTCCCTACTCTGTCACATCTTCAGTTCATTTCTTTCCATAGCACTTATTCACTGCAACTGTTTTGTTGGCCTTTCTTCCCTACTTGAAATGGGGTTATCTGCCACTGTATCCACAAAGCCTACCACAATACCCAGTGGGCAGAATACATGGAAATTCAACCATGTGCTGAATGAATAAAATGTTTTTCCTTTACCTGGAATGATATCTAGTTTCTTGAAACTTCCACCTATTGATCCTAATTTTACTCTCTATAAATACATTGGGAAAAAAGTATACTGTATGTGTATCATACTTTGTAATTAAGTATATACTAAATCCATTATTTTGTTAACTGCAGCACTCACCTGTGTTTTAGCAATTGCAAACTTTGCTGACTTGAGAGTATCAAGAAGCAGATAAGGGCACGACTCCCAAGTGACATCACCTGGGTTGGAACATGAGCTCCAATACTTATACACACGAAATGGATCTCACTTGTGTGATTTTGAACTAGTTATCTAACCGCTTGGTATCCCAGTTTCCTCATTTGGAAAATTAGGATAAGACTTCAATTATTGTGAGAATTAAATGGGATAATGTATGTAAAGCGCTTACCCCAGTTCCTGGTACAGGAATGTTAGCTGACAAACTACTACTGCTGTCTCACCAGCTAGACAGGAAAGCTCCTTAAAAGCGGTAACATTGGCCGGACGCGGTGGCTCACGCCTGTAATCCCAGCACTTTGGGAGGCCAAGGCGGATGGATCATGAGGTCAGGAGATCGAGACCAGCCTGGCTAACACAGTGAAACCTCGCCTCCACAAAAAACACAAAAAATTAGACGGGTTTGGTGGTGGGCACCTGTAGTCCCAGCTACTCGAGAGGCTGAGGCAGGAGAATGGCCTGAACCCGGGAGGTGGAGCTTGCAGTGAGCCGAGATGGCGCCACTGCACCCCAGCCTGGGCGAAGAGTGAGACTCAGTTTCAAAAAAAAAAAAAAAAAGGCGGTAACATTATTCTTTATATTTCTAAGACCTACCTTATACAAGTTTCAACAAATCTAGATTTAAAGCTATCATCCTACAAGTCTGGCTAAGACATCCCTACTTCCATATATTCCCCTAACACGCTAAACCTAGCCCACCTGTTATTTATCCCAACAGTCATTTTACTATTTTGTCTCCAACACCTGACCCTTAGGAGCAGGTATATCTTGTTCACCATGCTATCCTCAACACCTGCAACACCAAAATTTGATAATTCAGTGAATAAATCACTGTGGGCCTCCATTTTCCCTATGAAAATCATTTTTAAAATTATTTATTGTCTGTCACTGCCCATTCCACACAATGAAAACGTAGGCAGCCAAACTCTATCTTGTGAACTGCTGTATCTAATATGCCCTACTGGAGGCTCCAAAATATTTGGTAAAGGTGTTTTTTTTTTTTTTTTTGGTTTGTTTTTGTTTTTTTCTGTTAAGACATGTTGATGCTTGTAGTTTTCTGCTACGGAATTAAATGCTAAGCCTGTCTATTGACTCCGCAGCGTTACTGATGAGCTAGCTATGTGTGCTCATCAATATTTCTCCAAAGCCTAAGCAGAAATAGCAGATTATGTATTGAATGAACAGATGGACATGTTATTTTCTAAGACTGAAAAGAGATGCAGCACAATAAGAAAGGCAGTATCGAATACAAGGGCTTTGAGCGACTTGAGTAAGGTTTTTGTTGTTGTGTTACAGTTCTTTAATTCCCAAAAGAGTAGTTAACAATGTATAATAGAAGCTCTTTTTTCTTTTAAGTAAATGAGTGTGCAAAAGACAACGAGTCAAGTACCCCTTCCTTCCCCCACCTGTCTCTTACGACCTGGCAGTGCAGACACAGCCTTGATACCAGCCCCGCCAGTGGCCTGGGAGCCCCGCGCTCCTTCTCAGACCTGGCTACCAGTAACCCGAGGACAGTCCAGCGCGCAAAACCGGAAGACAGCCAATGCTGAGAACCCCCACCGGCTCCAATGCCGGACGCCGGCACTCTGAGCGACCCACCCCACCGCCCCGCACTCACCAGCAGCGATGCCATGAACCCCGGCCGGTCCATGGCCGCTCAGACCTCGTCAAGGCTACAATCCAAGCCGGAGCAAAGGCGGATCACGTCCTCGCGCGGTGGGCGTCGCCATCTTTGAGGCGGGCCTATCGTGCACTTCCGGGACCACGTGACGTAGAACCACAACAACTGCACGTGCAACGCCCAAGACCCGGGCCAAGAGGAGGGCCAGAGAGGAGGGGCGGGGCCTCGGGGAGTGTTGTCGAGCTAAGTCTCGGCAATTCTCTCACCTCTGTTTCCTGCGGCAGCGTTGTGTGCAGCTAGACGGAGGAACTCTCGCGAGCAAAAGATCCTCGGCTGGGATCCAGGAGAGAGCAGCCGTAGAATGAGGCCGGGGTGATTCTGAACTGTAAACCCAAAAGAGGCGTGGCTATGGCAGAGGGAGGAGTCGTGAGGGGCGGTACTAACCTCTGAAGGCGCGATTCGGAATCCTAATCGGATATTTCATTTTGGTTTATCTCTTAGTTTTGTCAACAAATTTTATCTGAGTTTATATTAAATTAACTCATTATCAGAAGATTATTAAATAAAGATACAGAAAAATACTTAAAAAGTTTCCTGACCGAAGCTAAAAATTAGCATCCTCCATTTCTCTTTACAGGCAGTTATTGTACTTAAAGTTACTAGTTTGTTCAGTTATTTACCAGTTCATGTTTTTCGCTGTTGTACTCATGTGTACACCTCAAAGCACACGTTATTAAGTACTTAATAAAATTTCTTGGAGTGAACCTGTCTTTATTAAATACCTTGTAAACTTCTGTGTATATTAAGAGCCAACTACATCAGACGTGGTGCTAAGTGATTGATAGACATTTTTTCATTGAATCCTTTCACCAACCCTATGATGTCAGCACGGCTACTGTCCTCATTTTACAGAGGCTCCTGATGCTCCAAAAAGTAACCAACTCAGTGTGGCTACAGAGAACATAGCAGAGCAAACACTGAAAATATACTTAATGCCCTCATCATCTTTCCTCAAAACCCTTATAATACCTGAACAGGCTCCTTGCCTGGCCTTTCTTCAATCCCTATTCTATAACACTGTTAGAATTATTCTTATAATTATTCTTATTCTCTTCTAGATAAAATGATCTAGAAATGATTCGCAGAAGAGCTTTAGGTGTTAGATGGAATTCAAATTCTGAGCTATCACCTGCTGGGTTTGGGCATAAGTTTTCCAAGATTAAGTTTTCTCACCTGTAAAGTGGCGATAATGATAGTAACTTTGTCATGCGGTACTATTAATAGATTAAATGAGATAATGCACTCAAGTTCTTAGCCTAGTTCCTGGCTCATAGAAAGTATTCTCTAAAGATGATGGTAATGTCATTTCCCTGCTTACAATGCACCCCTGCTGCCAATGGAGACAGTCCAGCTCCTTAGCATGGTATACACCTCTCAGCTGGTGTCTCCTGTCACTCTTCCCTCTAGCCGGACTACACACAGACAGACTATACACTTTCAAGCCTCCTAATTTTGCCCATGTTGTTCTCTCTACCCAGAATACCTTTCCCTATGCTGCCTATAGGCCCTCTCAAAACATGCTAGTTCACTTTGTCAAGGCCAGCAGAAAAATCTCTGTTGCTGCTGTTTGTGTCTTTCAAAGTCTCATGTGTTTTGGTCAGGCCTACCCAGGATAATCTCCATTTTTATTAACTCAAAGTCAACTGATTAGAGACCTTAATTGTATCTGCAAAATCCCTTTTGCCATATATTATAATATTGTCATGGTGGTAATGTTCTATCATACTCACAGGTCCTGCTCACATTCAATGGGGTAATTATGCAAAACACATTAGGGGCCAGGAATCTTGAGGGCAACCTTAGAATCCTGCTACTTCACATTCCTATAAATCCTCACTGGCAGCCTCCTCAAAGGCCATCAAGGTTCTATCAATAAGCTTTCACTGACATTTCCCTCACAGTCTTCCCACCTTTCACCTACTGCCTGGTGCCAATGGCACTCCCACAGTTTAGGAATTACAGTACTACCCACCCCCAAGTACCAAAATCCATATTATTTGTCTATTTCTGCATAACAAATTACCCCCAAAATTTAACAGACTAAAGCAACAATAAACTTACATTACCTCACACAGTTTTCATACATCAAGAATCAAGGAGTCATTTAGGTGAGCGTTTCAGACTGAGAAATTTTCATGACACTACAGTCAAGATGGTGGCCAAGGCCATATCATAAGACTTGATTGAGACTGGAGGATCCAATTCCAAGATGGCTCACTCCCATAACTGGCAAATTAGTGCTAGCTATTGGCAGGTAGCCTTAATTCCTCATGGCATAGATCTCTCCACAGTGCTACTTGAGTGTCTTCATGATATAGTAGCTGGTTTTTCCTAGAGTAAGTGGTCTGAAAGAGAACAAGACAAAAACTACAAAGTCTTTTATGACCTGTCCTCATAAGTTACTCAGTTGTCATTCCAGCAATAGTATATTGGTTACACAGGTCATCCACATTTATCATGGGGCTAGACTACCCAAAAGCATAAATACTGGAAGATGAGGATCACTGGGTGCCATCTTGGAAACTGGTTACCACATCAGGGAAATGCCAGTGAACACCACAATGAGATATGAATACACACTCACTAGGGTGGTTAAAATTAAAAAGACAAGTGTTGACAAGGATGAGGAGCAACTGGAAATCTCATACATTGCTGTTTGGAATTTAATATGGTACAACCATTATAAAATCCAATGCCCCACTTAGGTATTTACCCAAGAGAACTCAACATTCATACAAATACTTTTACATTATATTTCAAAGCAGCTTTATCCATAATAGTAAAAAAATGAAAACAACCTGAATGTCTATCAACTTGTGGTATAAACATATTACGATACATCCTTATAATGGAACATCACTCAATAATAAAAGGACATGAATTACTAATACATGAAGCAACATGGATTAATCTGAAATCATTATGCAATGTAAAAAAAAAAAAGACTACATATGTTGTGATTCCACTTAAGTGAAATTCTGGAAAAGACAAAATTATAGTGATAAAAAGTATACAAGTGGTTTCCCGGCGGTGGAGGTAGAGGCAAAGGATTGACTACAAAGTGGGCACAAAAGAATAGTTTGCGATGATGAAGATATTATCTGTTATTATTGTGGTAGTAGTGCATGGGTGTATACATTTACTAAAACACACTGACTTGCACAATTAGAATGGTTGTACTTAGTATATGTAAACTATAAGGCTGGGCACTGGGAGGCCAAGGTGGGTGGATTACCTGAGGTCAGAAGTTTGAGACCAGCCTGGCCAACACGGTGAAACCCTGTCTCTACTAAAAATAGAAAAAATTAGCCTAGTGTGGTGGCACACGCCTGGAGTCCCAACTACTCAGAAGGCTGAGGCAGGAGAATCTCTTAAACCCAGGAGGCGGAGGTTGCAGTGAGCCGAGATTGGGCCACTGCACTCCAGCCTGGGTGACAGAGCGAGACTCCATCTCAAAAAAAAAAAAAAAATGTAAACTATAGGTCAATAAAGTTGATTAAAATACTACTATCTCACAGGATGATGAGGAATAAATAATACATGCACAGAAAGTTTTAGTTCAGTGCTTGGCATATAGAAAATATTGAGTTTATTCTGTATTTTCCTATTTAAGTTAGAGATTCTGAATATTATGAATGAGAGACTGATAAGTTATCAAGGTGCATAAATATTTTGTGATACATACTACCACAGCTTCCTAAGTGAAAATAAATCTTATTTCTAGCTACTAATGTTCCTGGAAGTTTTTGATGTCATTCTTTCCCTAAGAGAAAATTTAACCTAGACTTAAAACTTTAATTTTGATTTAATACATCCTTTGAAGTAAAATTAAGAAAAAAAACTATTTTCCTCTTCAATGCAATGATTGTCTTTAACTTTGCAAGAAAAAACTGTGTTGATGTCGTTTTCTGGTAACCTGGAGGGAAATGTAATTTATCAGGTACCTTTCAAAATCAAGAAGTACATATTCTCTCTTTTTATGCAGGTAAAGTCTTTACCAGGTATTTCATGATACCACTGGAACCCCTTTAGGAAATACAGATATTACAAACATGACCTAGGGCTTCCTTTTCATGAAATGCTAGCAGAAAAACTCATTACTACTTGTGCATGCTTTTTAGATGGAGTATTTCAATGCGTCATCATTATCACCACATTGCAGGCAGCATATGTTCTCAAATCTTTCATTTTAAAAGATACAGGCAATGTGGTAAGCACTGATTTGCATTATACATGTGATATTATAATAATACTGTCTTTCTCACTTAAATCTATCACTGTAAGCCAAGTTTTCTTTTAAACAAGCTCTAAAATCATAATAGTATTTATAAAATTAGCAAGAAATCAAAGACATAGCTCAAAAAATAATTTAAGCCTAGCTCAAAAAAAAAAAAAAAAAAAAAAAGGACATGATCTTCAACCAGGACTAGGCTTAAGTTCCAAGCCCCTGTTACTGTTTTGTTTGTTGTTGTTTGTTTGTTTGTTTGTTTTGAGACAGGTTCTTGTCCTGTTGCCCAGGCAGGAATACAGTGGTACCATCTTGGCTCACTGCAACTTCAACTTCTGGTTTCAAGCAATCTTCCTGCCTCAGCTCTGCAAGTAGTTGGGACTACAAAAGCATGCCACCACACCCAGCTAATTTTTGTATTTTTAGTAGAGATGGGGTTTCACCATGTTGCCCAAGCTTGCCTCGAACTCCTGAGCTCAAGCAATCCACCCACCTCAGCCTAGAATTACAAGTGGGAACCACGGCACCCCACCCCATGTTACTGATTTTTATTGAAAAATACGATAATATTTGTTAAGATCTGAATGTGTTCCCCAAAATTCTTATGTTGAAGCTTAATCACCAGTGTGATAAGAGGTGGGGCTTTTAGGAGGCAATTAGGTCATGAGGGCTTCTCCCTTGTGGATATGATTAAAGTCTTCATAAAAGAAGCTTCACAAAGTATTCATTCAGCCTTTTTTCCCTTCCACCTTTTGCCATGTGAGGATACTGTTCAAAAGTGCCATCTTGGAAGCAGGAACTGGGCCCTCTGCAGACACTGAATCTGCCAGTACCTGGACCTTGGACTTCCCAGCCTCCAGAATTTTGAGCAATACATTTCTGTTCTTTACAAATTAACCAGTCGGTGGTATGTTGTTATAGCAGCACAAATGGACTAAGACAACAGTTAGAATCATTTTCAATAAAAATATTCCTGGAACTATTTCAATCCATCTACAAAGGGTAGTAAATATACATAATGGAAAGAAAGTCAAATGAAAATTTTAAAAGGCCTGTTTGAAAAGTCAGTTTTCCTTTAAGTGATAGAATCAACAG